AGAGAGATAGACAGACAGAGAGACAGACAGAGAGACAGAGAGAGAGAGACAGAGAGAGAGAGATAGACAGACAGAGAGAGAGAGATAGACAGACAGAGAGAGAGAGATAGACAGACAGAGAGACAGACAGAGAGACAGAGAGAGAGAGACAGAGAGACAGACAGAGAGACAGACAGAGAGACAGACAGAGAGACAGAGAGAGAGAGAGACAGAGAGAGAGATAGACAGACAGAGAGACAGACAGAGAGACAGACAGAGAGACAGACAGAGAGACAGACAGAGAGACAGACAGAGAGACAGACAGAGAGACAGAGAGAGAGACAGAGAGAGAGAGACAGACAGGGAGACAGACAGAGACAGAGAGTGTGTGTGTGAGGGGAGAGAGGGGGGGGAGAGACAGAGAGAGACAGAGACAGAGAATAGCTGAACACCCCAGCGTGCACGTCTGCACAACCGTGTACACAGCACGACAGCACACATAGAGTACGCGCTGCACGTGCCAACACATCAACATGCCAGGCAACTCGTCAACACACACCGCTTGACGCCAAGGCGGATATACTCATCCTCTTGTGGCGTGAACGCAACGCGTCGGCGGCGTAGCTGACGGCGTCCACGACCTCGGTCCTCTCGTTGCTGCTGCTGGTGTTGACGCCGGCGTCCCGTCGTGCCACCGAGGCCACGCGAGCCAGTGTTGCTTCTGTACATGCTTTTGTGGCGCTGCTGCGTGCTGAGGAATAGCCGTGGAACCTGCATCGGCATTTTGATGACGCTGTACTGCGAGGGCACCCTTCGTCCGCTGTGGTGGGCTGGTGGAGACGACGATAGCAGCGGCAGCGTTGGTGATTGTGGCGCGTCAGCAGCATGAGCGACAACACCTGGACATGGCGCCTGCGGTGAAGATACACATTGTGGCGCTGCTGGTGACGGTGTTGTCGGCGGCGTTGCTGGCGCCGCTGACTCGTCTCCGCTGGCCCCGCCGCAAACATCACTGCTGTTGGTGCCGCCGCTGGTACTGCTGGGGCTGCGCACGTGTTCCTGCGGTGGCGCTGGTGCCGGCGAGCCAGGATGCTGGGCTGCAGTGGCGACGCTTGTGTTGACGTTGGTGATATTTGCGCTGATCAATGCAGGTTTGACGGTGGTCGTTAAGACGCTGCTCCCCCGAGTGACCGCGGCGGTTGCGGGCTGCACCTGTCGCACGTGCTTCGCACGTGCATTGCTGCTTCCGTGGCTGCTGTCGCTATCGTCTTCCTCCTCTGCCGCCTCCTCCTCAGTTTCGGACGAATCGTGCAGTGGAAGGCGAGGACGAAGGCGGGGCGATGCACAGGGCTGATGGCGCGCGTGATGTTGTTGCCGAAGCTGCGGTTCTGGCTGGCGGCTGTGTGGAGAGAGCCAGAGCAGCCGATGTAGCTGTGCGTGTTGACCAACCCGGCTGTGCGGCCGGTGCAGTGGGTGCGAGCGTTCTTGCTGCTGTTGACGTTGAGGGTTGATGTGAAAAGGGGACTGGGCGGCGTGCATTGTTCTGGAAGCTGCCGGTGCCAGGACGCGCTGAGGAGGGTGCTGGCGAAAGGTTCGGCTCGTGGGGAAGAACATGGGCAAAGGGTGCCGCTGAGCGCGAGTTGCGGCCTCGCGGACTTCTTTGCTCTTGGCCCTCACGATGACGACCCAGCTCTGATGCCCGTCGGCCACACCTCCTGGCACAGCGTTGTCACTGCCGCTTGCCGACCGAACTGCCTGCATCACAATCTTGCACTCTGCCTCCGTCTTGGGTGACCATGCTTGCAGTGCCGCTTCCTGTGTTGTGGCACACACACACACATACACACACGTTTGTGTACAACACAGCAGCGATCCATGCAAGCATGAGTTTCTGGTGTGCACAACAACATCAGCCAGCAAGGTGGCTGCTTGTTCGTCAAGAACGTTGTCGCACACTCAATCATGCTGGTATATGCTGCGACATAGCAGGGACTCACAATCAACTGTGCTGCATCTGAGCTTGAGGCCACAATGTCCATCAGCTGCACAAACAAGCGTTGCTTCCCCAGTGCCACTGCCACATCGTCTGCAGTTCCCCACACACAAGAAGATAGGTGCTGCATGTGAGACTACGCACACTCGTGCTCTGTACACGTGGTGTGTGTGCTCTCGAAGTGTGTACTCTGTGCTCAACGGCCGGAGGGCACTTACGCTTGTGTAATGACAGACCGGCGAGGAACTGCAACGGCGCAGCTGTCGCGCTCGCTGCCAGGTTTGAGTGCCGCTTCAACCTGCCAGTGGCATGCATGCACGGGCCGTTGGGCCGTGTGAAAGCAGGCGAGCAGATGAAAACAAGAACAAGCATGCGCTGCGCTAGGGTTGCTGGGCGGCGTACGCCTGGCCCCAAAGACTCTTGCATGATATGAAATACGGTGACATGAATATGCAGCCCAAGGGGATGTGACTGCACACACACACACACATACACATACACACATGCACAAGCACACACACACGTACACACGCGCACACACACACACACACACAAGCACCGGCACACGCTCGCCAGTTGACCCAAACAAGTTCCTGCGTTGATGTGAAAACGCACAAGAGCTCGAGGAAGGCGAGCGTCTGCTCCACAATGTGTTTGCTTAACTGAGTCTGCACGTTGACTGCACAGGACAATGGAGCACAGAAGGAGTACAAATGTGTAAGTTGTGTGGGCAGCAGCCGAGCGACGTTATTGACTGCAATACACCAGGTGTAGCTTCGCCGCCGTTCAAGCAACGCAAAAGGCCTCAAAGAGAAGGAGGGTGGGGTACTCCGGATAATGAGACCTCGTATCACAAAGACAACCGCCTTCCAGACATGCACACATTGCTCCGTTCACTCACCCACCGTTGTTTTGTGTCACAGCGGCAGCAAGCCAACAACAGTCGAGACGTGTTTCCTCCTTCAGTTCTGTGCGCAGAAGCAAACCTTCCTCAAAGATGGCCTCCACCAGTGGCAACACCTGATCCAACGCGCAAAAGCGTGAGTGCACACGGGGCGTCGTGTCAGAGGAGGAGTTGTGTTGTAGGTTGTGCTTGCGGATGCGTTGTGCGTTCAGGCAGAATAAAGGACTGTGTTCAGGAGTATACTTGTACGAGACGACGCAACGGCATCGCCCAATGCAAGTGGCACCAGCAGTCAAGGCGAGCCACATGCCAGCACGACGGCATGCACACGCACACACACACACACACACACACACACACACACACACACACACACACGCACACACACGCACACACACGCACACACACACATACATACATACATACACACACACACACACGCACACGCACGCACACATGTTTCAAAGTCACAGATCGAAGGGCACCCATCGGTGTACAACCTGTTCCTGGAACTGGGGGTTGACGGAAGGTTGTTGGATGAGCTGGATTAGGAGGCGCAGTTGCTGTGTCCAGATGGCCCACACGTCTTCGTTGTCATCTGCACGGATCATGAGGCAGCGCTCCAGCAGCATGCTGACCAGGTCCTGGCCATATTGGGCGCGTCGTACCTCTGCAGTGTCACGACAAAAGAACAAGCGCAGAGCCATTGTACCGACACATGAGTGCAGACAGGGACGTGGAAAAGACAGACTTTTATATGCGGGTAAGGTCGATCACTCACTCGGAGCGGCAAACACAAATGCTCAACATGAATGGCTTCGTGGGGGGGGGGGAGGACAGCATATCTGAACAGCCATGTTCGACACGCACCTGAGGCGCATGCTTGTTGAACCACGGCCTGTTGTCCCAAAAGAGCAACGCCTTCCTTGTCGCGCATCAGCTGAAGGGCTTTTACCCTGCTCACCAGCTAGTGTCAGTGAGTGTGTAGAGTGTGTTGCGAATGCAAATGTGTGTTGAAGGGGCTGAGTGAGTGCATCAACGTGTACAAGCACGCAGAGGTTGTGCTCCTCGCCTGTGTGGAAGAAGAGAGATATTGTGTCGCTCAGCAGGGTGTGTACGTGTGTGTGCGTGCGTATGATGCACAGGTATTTGTTGACGTCATTGGGTATTCTGAGCAATCATGACATGTATACGTATGCACGAAGCGCACTGACCAGTCTGAGGCAGCTGTCGTCAATGGTGGCGGATGCTCTGAACAGCTGAAGTACACAGGAGCTCAGTTTAACCTTGTGCAACCAATACAAGCACAGCATGGAGATGAGAATGGCAGCGGAAACATGGCACGTGCACTGCGTGATGGGGGGCGAGCATCAGCCGATGATCTGCGTGCACGAACCTGATCGGAGAATCTGTCACAGAGCCGCAATGCGTACGCAAAGAACCCAAGCTTCGCGAGGAATGCGTCTGCGCTGCTGCTTTGTTTCACAAGACCAAGGGCAGTGTTGAGCACCTGACACACTTGATCCACATCTCGTTCCTTGGCTGACGATGTATGTACGAGGGCAAAGGCGCGGATAATATGTGAATGTGTGTGTGGTGTGTGTGTGTGTGTGTGGAGAAAGAGACAGAGCAAGAGAGAGACAGACAGAGAGAGAGAGTGTGTGTGTGTGTGTGAGTGTGTGTTTGAGGGTGCAAAAGCGCGCGAATGTGTAAAAGTCGCAGGAGCAGCATGCGGATTGTTGCGTGTATCAACAGCAGTCAAGGGTTCACGCACACAGCATCAACCAAGCACAGTTGCGGTGCCCTTGTAGCAACCTACCTGCCATCTGCAGCACTTCCATCAACACAAGCACGTCTGCTTGTAGCCTGGCCTCTTCACCCTGCACATAGTGCTGTTTCTTGCTCTGATTGACCAAAGCAGCCATGGCGCCAAAGGACGACTTGCGTTTTGCCGTATGCCGTTTGTGTGTGCGGTGGTGCGAGTGAATACTATTTGACGACACCCTGGAAGGGAATGCGCCTGTGGAACTTGAGGTACAATGTGTTTTTGTGTTTGCGGCGTTGTGTCTAAGTACTGGAGGCGTGTGTTGGTTATGTGTTGGTGCTACCAAGATCTGTGTGATTAGAGTGAGCACAGTGCACAAACGAGCTCATGTAGCGAACGATGAGATGGCTTCTTTGCTTCTTCGTTACACCTGCAAAGATTAGTGTGTGTGTGTGTGTGTGTGTTCATTTTCCCGCCAAAATTCATCGCCTTGTCTTCTTCATACACACACCACAAGCATTGGTGCACTCTTCGTCTGTGTAGCACACCAGCACCATCAGCACCAGCACCAGCACCAGCACCAGCACCAGCACCAGCACCAGCACCAGCACCAGCACCAGCACCAGCACCAGCACCACACTTGTTTCTGCAGAACCTGCAGCCTGCCGTGCACGCAAACAGGCAAAGCAATTCAGAAGGAGACGAGGATGGCCAATATCGCAGCCCTCGAACAGCAATGTGAGTCGTGGGTGCTATTTGTTTGCAGAGACACAAGTTACATTCTTCCATCCCGAAGTTGTGCGCGCTGCAGGAACGCCAATCTCCTCTTCCGTATCTTTCATTGCCGTGCCCGACCTTGTGAGGGGTTCAGGCAGGCCTCACTTGCTTCTTCATTCTCACAACTTCTGCGAATCGCAGTGCTGGAAGCAGAAGCCAAGCAAGTGGAGTTCCTGCACAGTGCAAGGGAGCGCCTGGCAAAGGCGGCCGGTGTGCTGCGAGAAACCGCTGCGCGGTACACAGCATGGCAGCGTACACGACAGCGGCTCCACCTCAAACGACAGCAGCTTCGCACCGAGTTATTACAGGTACGCCGAGAGCGTGATGGGACGTGTGAGTGTGCACGCACGTGTTTGTTCGTGATTGTGAGTGGTTACAGACGAGTGTTTGGATGTTGTGAGTGAGAGCGTGTCTGCGCATGCACATGCTTTGTGGGCGAAGTGCCTCGGAAAGCGCTTGCACACGACATGCGGTTGCGGGTGGCTGTCCCGGGTTTGTGACAACGTGCTTTCTCTGGCTGTTAACGGGTGACCTTCGTCATTTGTGACATGACGGTTAGGCTCAGCAGGAACTGCGGTCCAAGTGCGACAAGCTTGGCATCAGCGGCACACCATTGCAGTCCAGGGGCTGTCAGGATGGGCAAGCGCTGGCAAGCTGGATACAGAACACGCTCCAACCAACCACGCTTGCGTTCTCCAGCACACCGGCTGCAGCAATAGCGAAGTCGCAAGGAGACGAGTGGGACACTGCACTCCAGTCAAGCACGGCAGGCTTGCTGGAGGAGACACGCACGGCCCTGACAAAGGCGGAAGAAGAGCAAAGGCGACTGCATCAAGACCCACACATCGCTGAGATGGCCCGCTCTCTCGACACAGAGCTGAGCACCCTTCAATCACAAGGCAAACAAAACATACCTGGTGTTTGTGTTTGTGCTTGCTTTTGCGTGTGTGCGTGTGTGGTTGCCCTTATGTGTGTGTGTGTGCTTGTGTGTGTGCTTGTGTGTGTGCTTGTGTGTGTGCTTGTGTGTGCTTGTGTGTGTGCTTGTGTGTGTGTGTGTGTGTGTGTGTGTGTGTGTGTGTGTGTGTGTGTGTGTGTGTGTGTGTGTGTGTGTGTGTGTGTGTGTGTGTGTGTGTGTGTGGAGGAGGGTTTTGGGGCAGGTTGCTCTTCCACCACCACGACCTCCTCCTTTGGCTCCTTCAGTCACGCATGCGCATGCCTGTGTTGTCGTTGTGCAGTGTTTTGTTTGACCCTGTCGCCCTGTCGTCCCCGTTGGTTTCATGAAGCGAAACTCGCGGGTCTGTCTCGGGTTTAGTCCCCAGCAAGCTGCATCCCGCACGAGAGAGCCTGACACGAATCTTCTTGGTGTCTTGATGCCTCTGCCGGTTGTACTTGTGTTGTTTCAGTGGCCGAGCTGCGTAAGAAGGCCCTGACGCCTGATCAACGCGAAAGGCTTGTGGAGCAAGAGCGACAGCTGGAGTTGGAGCTCAATGCGTTCCTCATTGCCGTCCTCGGTTCCGACGAGGATGACGATGACGACGGGGAAGAAAGAAGAAAGAGCAAGCAAGACAGTTTCGGCGGCAACGCTGGGCGTCCTGCCACAAGTTGCTCTCGCTCAACACCACACCGTTACCACCACAAGCATCATCACCGCGAGCAGTCGCGCCACTTTCACCACCCACGCGTTTACGAACACGACTCCCCTCTTTCCTCATCGTCATCTTCCCTTGACCACATGCACATCCACTCGCTCCTAAACAGTTCTTGAACGCGGGTGTCTCTGTGTGTGTGTGAATGGTTACATGACGCATCCAAGGATGAATGTACGGCACTGGGAGGAAGTTTGCTACGTGTGACGAATACACAAACTGACCAACTGATAAGAGCAAGATGTGAGGAGGGCTCTTGGGCTCGAGGGCTCTGACAGAGGCAGAGGAGCAAGAGAAGTACTGGAAGTAGAGAGCGTGTCAGTTGAAGGTCGAGTGCCAGCGCGTTGCAGGCGCGTGGAGAACATGCAGAGGAGAGGAGAAGGGATGTCGACAAGACAAGCTCAGCAGAACACACCAGACAAGCTCACCATACTTACTAGACTTACAGAGCAGAGCAGAGCAGAACACACCATTCGACTATTCGAACAAGCAAGGAACCTCGGAACACCAAAACAGAAGTATGGAGGAGTAGTCTGTAGTGTCAAGGATTTGTGTAGGAGTGTCAAGGCACCATCAAGGCACGCTCCAGCCGACACCATAAAGTGTAGCTATGGCGAACGTTGTGAGCCGGGCAACGGCTGGGTTGACGCAGCTGTACTCGTCTGTGGCACAGCAGCGCGATGACGGCGCACACCATGGACGAGCACAACACCAACAGCCAAAGCAGGAGCAGCAAGAAGGTGGCGTGTAGCACAGTGAAGTCGTGATGGCATGTCTCTGTGGCGACGAAAAGTTGGGAGTGGTTGGCCCACATGCCGCTTTAGTTTGTGCAGGTTGTCGTGGTTGTTCATGGCGGAGCCTGAAAGCGTTGAACGCCTCCAATGTCTGGCTGTGCTTCGGTTGGTTATTGGTTTACGCACTCACTGTGACACTGTTGCTGGTGTCCTTGGTGTTTTGCGGGGAGTAGATCTGAGTCGCCTGACTGCCGAAGATGGCTGCTTTCAGCCTGTGCCTCCAGGTGAGCGTGTAGTGACAATGCGGAGGAGATGCGGAGCACAGTATGGAGTGGGAGTGGTGTTATTGGACGCGGTGCACATCATGCGTCTGCGTGCATCCCGCGTGCCGTGTCACAGTCAGTTGTCTGTCCATCTCCCCTCAGCATCGCTGGTTCGCTGGTTCGCTGGTTCGCTGATTTCTTGTTGCTTTGCTGGGGATGGGCAGTGCCTTTGCTCGGTGGGAGATACCGGTATCTGCGCAGCATTGGGCGTGGCGGTTTTGCGCTCCTGATCCGCGCCGAGGATACCTACTGCCCCACCCACAGTCACGTCGCTATCAAGATCATGCACGCCCAGTTTGCACAGCTGGGCTCACACGAAGCAACCGTCACACGCCAGCTCAACACCCTTGACCCGCTAGAGTGCGTACTTTGCGTGTGTGTGTGCATGTTTGTTTGTTGGTGTGCATTTTGTTTGTTGGTGTGCATGTGTGCGTTTGTGTGTGCGTGCGTGTGTGTGCATGTGTGTGTTTGTGTTTTTGTGCAGGTGTCCACGTGCAAGTGCATGCTTGTTCGCATGCATGTGTTTTTGTGGAATGTATGCCTTAGTGGTACCTCCCTCCTCATCCATCGAAGCTCACGCACACAGCGATGATTCCGTTTTCTGTTCGCGTTGTACCGCAGCACATGTCATGTTGTCCGCTGCATCAACACGTTTGAGTTTGCAGGTCACTTTTGCATCGTGTTCGAGGTGCGTGCTTGTCCTGCTGACGTGTTGATTTTGTGTTTCGTTCATCTCCACGACCTTTCTTTCATCCGTTGTCTTGTCTCACGTGTACACACACACACACGCGCGCGCGCACACACATACACGCGCATACACGCGCATACACACACGTGCACACGTGAATCACACGTTCCATGGTGCAGTTGCTGTCATCAACACAGCTGAAACATGCAGTGGAAACAGCGTCGCAGTTCACAAATACCAAAGCAGCAAACACAGGTCTGCGTGTGTGCGTATGCGCGCGCATGCGTGTGCGTGGTGTGCGCGGAAGTTACAATCATCTGTTCAACCACTGCAGTGTCGTGCACTTTGGTGTGTGATGAGCACGCACACACACACACTCACGCACACGCACACGCACTCACGCACACACACACACACATACACTCTCTCTCTCTCTTACTCGCACTCACTCACTCACACACACACTCTCACTTCTAAATTGTGCTGTGTTGTTGCGTATGAGACAGCGAGTCTCAAGTTACAGGCTGTGCGCAAGGTGGCCGCCCAGCTTCTGACTGCGCTCGTACGTGTCATATATGCACATGTACACACAGCGCTTGCCGCCTTGCACGTGTTGTTGTCATTGTGTCACATCATGGCATCTCGCGTGTGCGCGTGAACGCCACATCATCACCTTTCTTCTCGTGTCGTGCGTCTGATATTTGTGTGCATGTGTGCACGTGCACGTGTGCGTTCAATTCCCTTAGGCCGTGTTTCGTCATGCCAACATCATCCACGCCGATCTTAAACCAGACAACGTTCTCCTCCGTGATGGTGCGTGCGTGTGTGTGTATGTGTTTGCGTGTGTGCGTGCGTGTGTGTGTGTGTGTGTGTGTGTGTCTGCGTATGCGCGCGTGTGTGCTGATGGATGCATGTGTTTGTGTGTTTCTACGTGTGTATGTCTGTGCTGCTGTACGGCAACAACCAATGTTGTGTGGTTTCCCACTACCTATTTTCCCATGCTACCAAACTTGCTGCTCACCATGAACACCATCACCACCACTCGTCACTACCACTCATCACAACCACTCATCACAACCGCTCATCACCGCAGACGCCGCCAACTCGTGCTTCATCAAAGTTGCTGACTTTGGCAATGCCATCAGCAACACGGAGGAGGCTGTTGCTCCATACTACGACTCGTTTGACATCCAGACACCGCTCTATCGTGCACCAGAGGTGACAAGTATCGCAGTATCTGTTATTGGTGGCGGTAGTGGCAGCTGTGATCATGGCGATGGTTGTAGTCTTGTTGTGGCGAACGTCTGGACTCGTGCCTGGACTCAAACCGTGATGCACGCTCACGTGCACGCGTACTCGCGTGTTGTATTTCATGCACAGGTGTACTTTGGCATTCCTTTTGGTCCGGAGATTGACATGTGGTCAGCCGGTTGCATCTTGCTCGAGGTACAGCATACCTGCACGTACAAGATAGCTTGCACCAGTGAACATTGAAACGATGCACATGGTTCCCACTCACATACACACATACACACATACACACATACACACATACACACACTCTCACACTGACACACATGCACATACACACAAACACACATACACACTCTCTCACTGACACACATACACACATACACTGACACACACACACACACACACACACACACACTCTCTCTCTCTCTCTCTTCATCTCCCCTCCCCCACCGCCCCTTTCCAGCTGCTGCTTGGTCGCGTCCCGTTTGGCGGCTCAACACCGGATGACGTCGTCAGCAGCATCGTCGCACTGACAGGACACCTGCCACACATGTACACCGCAGGCAAATTCTACGCCAGGGTGCGCACCTTGCATGCGTATGTGTACGTGTGTGTGCATGTGCATGTGTGTATGTGCATGTGCGTGTGTGCATTCAGTGAGTGCGTGCGTGTGTATTTGTGTGTGCGATGCATTCGCGCACGCAACCACATAATGTGCTGCAGTTCCTGGCGATTGTCGGGTTGCTCACCACTGTATTCCCTCCACTGCTGTTGTTGCAGTTCTCCCAGCACGTGGACAGCCGGCCCTCAACGCCACACGAACCGCTCGACCGCATGTATGCCCATATCGCACGCGCCTCCCCTGCACCATGACGGACACACACTTACACACACACACACACACACACACACCACGCCGAAACAGAGCAAAATACAATACTATGGGGCGACAATCCCCCCCCCCCTTTCCGTGACGATTCATCACAATGGTCTCCGCTTTTTTTTTTTCGTCGTTGCCTGCAGGCACGCGGCCCTTGCATCACGGCTTCAGGAGCATCTTCACTTCAACCACCCAAGCTTTGCCAGCTTCCTTGCTGGCATGCTCCATCCCGCGCCTTGTGAGTTCCATCGCGAATCGAGCACTGTGTCTTGTTTGTCATTCCCGCTTGCACGTGCATGCACACACACACACACACACACACACACACACACACACACACACACACACACACACACACACCCGTGTGTACTGGTGTTGTAGCCAAGCGCATGACGCCGTTGGAAGCACTGCAGCATCCGTTTCTGGCGCCGCTGTTTCCCTTTCGCCTCCTCGTGTCAGACCCGCCCCTGTACTCAAACCCGGTCTGGTTCCCCCCACGCCCACACTCGTTTGCATACGCACACGCGGCCGAGTGCGAGCGCCCGCTGCCCGCACACCGCAGCAGCACACGGCGACCACAACAACAGCAGCAAGAGCAGCAAGAGCACCAGCGGCAGCGTGGGGGTCGTGCCAGTGGCGGTGCCAGTGGTGGTGGTGGCAGTGGGATGGCTGTTGGTCGCCCGCCAGCAACAAGCACCGCAACAGTAGACACCACAGATGCATGGCAGCTCAAGTGGGTAAGAAATCCACTGCAACAGCAACATCAGCAACATCAGCAACATCAACAGCAGCGACAGCACCACCAGGCTCGTGGTGTTAGTCGAGTGGCGCAATCTGCGTTTCATCGCGTGGCCAACGCGTCCTCTGCATTTCATCCTCTACGCCTCCACACCAACGGCAGCACAGGCAGTGCGCCTCCGCAGTCGTCTGCTGCCGTGAAAGACGAGGACCTTGGGCACCTGGGTGGTGATAGTGACAGCATTGCAGCAGACGTGCGCCACTCGCGGTCCTCTCGCTCGCGCCGCTCTGTCCGGCGTGCATACGCTGGCGATGAAGACATGAAACGAACGCCTTTGTTGCAGGCGAGTAGTGACACGACTGCGGCCACGCCCACCTCAACCACCACGGCACGCCCAGCTTCATCAGGCCGTGGTGGCATGCGCACCCCTGACCGGGCAGGGAAGCTGCTCAGGTCGAGCGATGGCAAAGCCATGGTGCTGATGGCTGCAGGCACCATCGCAACGGCTGCACCTGACCAGCAACACGCCCCTCACACACACCAACGCCAACAACGCCAACAACGGCAGCAGCGGCAGCGCAGCGCAATGGCAATCACAGATCGTGATGTGAAGGAGGAGGACTTTGATGAAGGTGATGATGCACTGCTGTCATCGCCACACTCAAGCGAAGCAGCCACATCCCGCCAGCGCACCCGACGGCGATCAACAACCACTTCAACAACAGCATCAGTAGCAACAACAGCAACAGCAGCGTCGTCATCAAAGCGGACATCATCCCGGGAGAAGACACGACGTGGGTCGAGGGGGAAAGGGAAGCGTGGGGATTCGGACGTATCGTCCACCTCGAGCGTGTCACGGCCGCGTGGAACTGGTGCGCGTGCTGATGTCGACGATGGTGCTGTTGACGGCATCACACCTCCGTCTTCGCCACAGTTTTCCCGCCGCTCGGCCAGCAGCACTCCAAAGGCGCGCAGAGTCAACAGTAGCAGCAAAAGGAGACAACAACAACAACAACAACAACAACAACAACAACAACAACAACAACAACAACAACAGCAGCAGCAGCAGAGGGGGAAACAGAAGAAAAAATCAGCCAAGAGCCAGGCACGGAAGTCGGGACACTGTAGAAGGAAAGGAGGGGCTGATACCATGGTTGGTGATGACGTTGATGAGGAGATGGACTTTTTGGAAGAAGGAGGCGCAGACATCATTGTTGTGCACGACGACGTCAACGGAAACAGCGACAACACGCGAATGGCCCACGCGTCTGTCATGGCCTACCACGCCACACTCGCTGCAGCAGAGGGCGAAGATGAGCTCTTGTCCAGCGGAGAAACGGTATCAGCGGCGTCGTTGTCTCGTTCCGCTAGCGGCTCCACCCCATTGCGACGGGCGCCGCGATCCACATCAGCCGCACCGTCGTCGAGTGTTGCCTCAGCGAGAACAGGTAAAGGTGCGAAGAAGCACAGGGCCAGCGCAGCGCGTGACGGCGACACCCTGGCAGCAAAGCGCGCGAAAGTGACCAAACGCGCCTCAGAACACAAGGCAGCAACAACAGCATCGACAACACCACCAACAACAGGAAGTGTTGATGATGGCGATGATGCTGGTGCGTCACGGCTGTCACCGCCATCTTCACCGCTCCCACAGGCGCTGCCAATGGAAGGAAACACGCGAGCGGCAGCGCAGCACCAGCAGCAGCGCCAGCACCAGCAGCACCGTGAACGACGCCCAAAGAGCAAGCTAACAAGGAAGCCGAAGAAAGGCCGGCATCTGCCTTCTCCATCTGCAATGACGCCAACATCACCCACAACAGCAGCCTCTGCCGGTCCCTTTGATCTTGATGAAGGCGTCATGCGTGATCGCGTGTGGAGTGAACCGTCGAGTGCAGATGTGTCGCCTGCTCGCCCCGCACACCCTGCTCACACTCCCCATGTCGGTAAATTGCCACCGGTCAACACAACAGCGGGTGCATCACGTGGCACCACCGCAACACGGCCCAAGGCGGCCGCGACCGTGCACCCGTCTTCACCCTCGTCGACGCACAAGACTCCAAGGAAGCCCGTGTTGCCTGTGTTTCCTGGCCGCGATGCGTCCTCTGCGATTCAAGCACGCATGGCGGCACTGGCAGCGCGCTCGCCATCGTCATCGTCATTAGCGGACGCCATATCATCATCTTCTTCATCGTCCTCAGTTGTGCTGCACGAAGTTGCCACGGAATCGACACCAGTGGTTGGTAAACCTTGCGCACGATACACACACACACACACACACACACACACACACACACACACACACACACACACACACACCATGCCACATGCTATCCTTGCCTCATCATTTTGTGTCGTCCCTCGCCCCTTTATGTATGGCACGCCGCCCATCCTTGATGCTTGCAGGCATTGGCGACATTTGACGATGCGGATGACACGTTCTCCGATAATCAGCGCCGCAATGACAGCAAGGTCGCGCGTGTCCTTGGTCAACCAACACCATCACCGTCATCATCAGCCAGGCGCAAGAAGACGCCAATAAGAGCAGGACAACGAGCACAACTCGCTGAACGTCAAGGACACAACGGCGTGGGCGGTGGTGTTGTTGCTGGTGCTGACAGCAGTGACTTTGATGCATCCTCGGACCATGAGGACATTGACTTCCTCACTCTGTAGGACAGAGAGTGCCGTGCGTGTGCGTGCTGTTCTGTTTCAAGAGTGTTGGGTATGGGTTCTGTGACTGCTTGTAAGCGCGTGTAATGGAACAGAACTGATATGAAGTAAACCACAAGAGCAGAACAGAAGGCATGTTTGAAACATGATGCAACTCACCAACGATACTTAAAAAGAAAGCAGGGCTCGGGCAACGCAGCAAGGAAAGGTGGAACGTGGAACAGCAGGCAATTTCGTGCTTAGGAACGAGGATACAATTTCAGCAGTCAGAGCGACACTGAACGACAAAACAAGCAAGAAAGTCAAAGGGAGGAAAGAGCAAATGAAGAAGACTGAAAGAAGACGCGCGCATGCAATGGAAACACGAGTACGCATTCGAGAGGGTGGACGCAATGCAAACAGATCAACAACATCACGAGCAACAAAAAAATCAACACACACACACACACAATCGAGATGATATGCTGCGACAAGCCATCATCTTTGTGCCACTTCATGCATCGAACCCAAAGTCATCTGCGTCGTTTAACTGCATCCTCTGCTCCCCAGTCTTTGACAGCACCACGTTGTCATATGTGCAGCCAGGAGGGGCGACTGTCGCGTAGGCATCATCTCCCGTACCCTCGTCACCCATGTCATACTCAGGCGCTGTTGCTGCAGTTGTGTGGGGTGAGGCCAAGTCATACTCAGGCGCTGTAGCTGCAGTTGTGTGGGGTGAGGCCAAGTCATACTCAGGCGCTGTAGCTGCAGGTGTGTCGGGTGAGGCCATGTCGTACACCGTCGTGCTTGCTGCTGCAGTGTGCTTGGCTGCCGAGGACACAGGCACCTCGTATTCATTGGCTTTCGCGTGCTGGATGGGCTGTGAAGCAGGCATGGCATAGGCGTTTTCTGCCCAGGCGGAACCTTTGTGCAGCTGCGCGAGGTGACCGACCACAGGTTGTTCGTACGTGCGGCACTCGTTCGGGTCAGCGTACTCGTAGTCGAACATGGCCATGTTCATCTTGCCGCCAGCAAGCCCGTCATTGTCGCTCGCGCACTCTTCGTACGTTGGGTTCATGGAGACGGGTGGTGTGGTGCGGGTCTTGGACAGCCGTGTACGCTTCTTCCGGCGGCGAACAAACACCGCAAGCACTGCATGTCATGTGACACGTGGCAAGTGGCAGTTTGTGTCAGAGTATGAAGATGGGTTGCATGGACAAAATACCACCGCAACGCACAAACAAACGCAACGACATGCGTGCACGCATGCAAACACAAACACAGACGCAGACACAGACACATGCAAGCACACATGCAAACACACACACAGACATGCAAGCACACACGCACACACAGAGACAAACACACACACGCACACAAACTCACGGATGCCGGCGATGAGACCGATGGCGCCAGCGACGACGGCGACAATGATGGTCGTCATGTCCGTGCTGCCGCTGCCGCTGCGGCTCGTTTGTGGGTTGATGTTCTGGTTGGGGGGCGTTGAGCTGACTGTGGTCGCAGTTGTCGACTCTTGTGCGTCAGATGTGGTCGGTGGCGCTGAGGCGGACGTTGACGCTGTGAGGTCCATGTGATCTGAGGGCGACGCTGTGGACAACGTAACAATCATGGTGGTCGTTGTTGTCGTTGTAGACGTGGTTGTTGTTGTTGTTGTAGTTGTAGTTGGTGTAGTTGTAGACGTGGTTGTTGTTGTTGTTGTTGTTGTTGTTGTTGTTGTTGTTGTTTTAGAAGTTGTTGTTGTCATCGGTGTGGTTGTCATTGTTGTTGTCGATGTGACCGGCACCAACTGTGCAATGCGCACTGCACTGATCTTGCCATTGTTTGCAGAGCTGGTGAAGTCAATGTCGAGGTTCGTGTCACCCGCGTACACATCAAACACCTTCACCGTGGCCGTGGCCCACCCAACGCTGTCGGTCAAGTCCACGTTACTCTCCACAAGCGTGCCCTCGATGTAAATGTCAAAGACGCGCTCTCCAGGCTGGTCGGTGCATTCGCAGATGTCAGCAAAGTGGAGAAACACGCGGTACCACTTGTTGCGAGTCACGGGGAAGTTCATCCTGAGCGTGCTTGCGTACTTCTCTGACTGGTAGAGGGTGTCGTCGTTTGTGTTGGCGATGTTGATACTCTGGACGAACGTGCTGCCTTGGATGTAGGAGCCTGCGGGCTGCCACACGCGGCCCTCTGTGTCTGTGTACGAGTTGCTGTCGCCAGCGTTGACCGCATATACATCATCGCCAACAATGAAGTCGGTGGGGACATTGGGGAGGGCTGCGGGGGACATGGACGTTGACATTGACGCTGTGGTTGTTGTAGTACTGGCTGCGGAGGCAGTTGAGCTTGTCCATGGCGCCACAGAGGGTACAATGGTTGTTACGCCGACTTGGCAGTTGCTGTTCAGCAAGCTGGATGCGAACTTGAATGCGCCGTCCCAGTACGTTTTGCATTCGAAGCTGCTGCGCGAGATATCTGCCACTTCGCGCATGTGGAAGAATTCTGCCGTTCCGGAACCGCTGCTCCGGTCCATGTTCAGCGCGCCAATGGAACCACACTTGCCATACAGCTTCAAGTTCATGTCGCCATCAATCTCCATGTCCACATCGCTCGCGGACTCGAACCTAGCCGCAAAAGTACACATGGTTGGGAGGCAGGATGGACGGAAGCAGTGATGTGATGAGACATGTAAGCAGATGCCAGAGAGCGTGTCGTCGAGTTGTCCCAGTGAAGAAGCCATCAGCAATGGCAAAGAAGGGACTACACAAACCACAGAGCAGACACGGCATTGGCCAATCATGCTGCATTTCGATAGACACGGACATAAGCAGGCAGACTGACAACAGGCTGCCACAAACACACACACACACACACACACACACACACACACACACACACACACACACACACACACACACACACACACACACACACGTACTGAGCAAATCCATTCACATGATTTGTGCAGGGATAAGAAACGCACGTGTGAGACGTATTTGATCCAATGGTGACGCTGAGGGAGGCGTCGTTCTTCGTTTCCAGGTGGATGTTGGTCGCAGCTTTGAGGGAGGGAAAGGAGATGAGGGGCACATCCACCGCCGCCTCAATCCGGAGACAGTCCACGGATTGCAGGTTTGGGAACTCAATCTTCGACGACACGTCGCCGTCCACGAAGATGTACATGTCGTCGACGGCTGTCATGCCTGTGAAGACGATGGTGTCGATCTCTGCGCCGCTCTTGATGTTGAGCTCAAAGTCGTCGAAGCTTGTTGCTTGCACGTCAATGTGATTGCATGCACCTGTGGCGTCGATGGCGTAGTCGTCGCCGTTGCTGGTGCTGAACATGCCCTGTGTCACAATGAACGCACTGCCGGCCGAACACGACTTGACTTCGACCGTGTCGTCGGGGTCGATTGAGGAAGGGCAGGTGCTGCTGCTTCCACCCTCTCCACCACCACCGCGGCCTTCTTCTTCGCCATCGTCTCCGCCATCGCCGTGTGCGTGCACCAGGTGCAGCTCGCTCGCGCACAGCAGCACCGCCAGCGCCAGCACCCCAACAAGCACAAACAAACGTCGCATGCTCTTTGGGATGGTTGCTTTTGCAGCAGCAGCAGAAGTAATTGGCGTGGCTGTGGGAAGCAGTTTACAGCGCCTGCTGTTGCTTGCAAGCAAAATGGCGGTGTTCGTTGACGTCTTCCATCACATTTCGGCTGCACCAACTCGTTGGCGCCGTGGGAACCTGCGTGCATTTCCGGCGCGTTTTACGTTCTCGCCCTCGCCTCATCACGTCATTTGCCTACTCATTCATGAGAGCGTGTCTCCAGCAGGCCGCTCTGCGTTGACTTGCTTGCACTTTCTCTCTCTCTCTTTCTCTCTGTTCGCATTTGTTCACTGCTGTACGAGGTGGCTCGCTCGATGAGGGAACACCCTCTCTGAAGCGTTAAAGCAGCAAAGCAGAAAGCGCGAACAGCAGAATGCAAAGAAAGAACACAAGCAAGGCAGGTAGCAGAAGGGGTTTGCCAGAGCTTCTGGCCCATGGCGCTTCGCTGTCTTTGGGAGCAACACACGCAGCAGCACTACACAGCGAGCCGGCTCGTCTGTGGTGTCTTCTGGGGGTGGTGGCGAACTCCTCTCAAGGAAAGCGAAAGCATAACAAAAGAAACGAACGCTGGAGCCCATCACCAGTCCTGGTGTGAGCAAACAACATGAAGAAGACAACAACATGGATATTCAGTAACAACATGAAGTGGTGAGAACAACAAAGGGACAGGGGAACTGAAAGCAGGCATGAAACGCCGGGCAGCTGCAGGCTCCCAACGAGAAGCGTGTCCAGCTGACATTAAGCAGGAGGGGGAAGGAAGGGCACGGGAAATCCAAACGCAGCTCCAAGCACACAACACAACACAACACAACACAGTGGAGGGGTATGGCGTGTTGATAGCACCGTGAAGCCTTAAGCGTCGAAGCCAAAGCCAGCGCCGTCGCCCAGTTGCACGAGATGGTTCGCTTTCGGAGACACCGCAAGATTGTCGTAGATGGGCGGAAGCGTCTCATACACACGGTCTGTGGTGTCAACGCCTTCTTCAGCACTGTCTTCGTCATCACAGGTGCTGGCAACGGCTGGGTAGTTGTCATACAGGCGGAGCTGGGGTTGCCCCGTGCGTGCAGAGCTGTTCACATCAGTTGCCGTTGATGGGGAAGCGACATCGTAATGCACGTTCTCGCTGCTGTCCTGGAGGCGCACGCCATACCCAGGTGGAGGCAGTGGTCGCTGCTGGTGCATGGAGCTGCGAATGCTGCTGCCGCTGTGGCTGTGGATACCTTTCACGCTCGAGGCGGGTGTTGGCACCATGTAGGGTTGCTCGGACCACGACGTATCTGGTACATCGTATGTGTTCTCCTGAACACCGCCGTGGCCGACAACAGGCTGTTCGTACGTGCGGCACTCGTTCGGGTCAGCGTACTCGTCGTCATACATGGCCATGTTCATCTTGCCGCCTGCAAGTCCATCCTGACGCGAGCGGGGCGACGGGTCGTACGTTGGGTTCATGGTGATGGGCGGTGTGGTGCGGGTCTTTGGCAGCTTCGTGCGCTTGCTGCGACCACGAACGAATACGGCAAGCACTGCACGAAGACGAATACAGTGTCATGTGGTTGATTTTGGGCATGCGAGTGTGAGCCATTGCATATGTGGATAGCCCAGAGCATGCACAAGAACACAAAACTTGCGCACATACAACACGCAATTGCGCATTCTTGCGCTACAGTGCACATGTCACAGACAGACAGACAGACAGACAGACAGACAGACAAACAGACAGACAGACAGACACAAACACATGCAAGCAAACACACACACACACGCAACAACCACAAACTCACAGATGCCGGCGATGAGACCGATGGCGCCAGCGACGACGGCGACAATGATGGTCGTCATGTCCGTGCTGCCGCTGCCGCTGCGACTCGTTTGCGGGTTGATGTCTGCTGCTGTTGACGTTGGCGTGGAGAGCTCTGAGGTTGACTGTGCTGTCACGTCGGTGGCTCTTGGCGCCGAGGAGGACGTCGATGCCGTCAGGTTCATGTGATCCGAGGGCGACGCTGTTGACAACGTGGCCAACTTCGCTGTCGTGGTGGTGGTGGTGGTGGTGGTGGTTGTAGTTGTTGTAGTAGTAGTAGTTGTTGTTGTTGCTGTAGTTGTAGTTGTTGTTGCTGTTGGTGTTGTTGTTGTCGTCGTCGTGGTGGTGGTGGTTGTTGTTGTTGTTGTTGTAGTTGTAGTTGTTGTTGCTGTTGTTGTTGTTGTTGTTGTCGTGGTGGTGGTGGTGGTGGTTGTTGTTGTTGTTGTTGTTGTTGTTGTTGTTGTTGTTGTTGTTGTTGTTGTTGTTGTCGTTGTCGTTGTAGACGTGGTTGTTGTTGTGGACGTGGTTGTAGTTGTTGTAGTTGTAGACGTGGTTGTTGTTGTTGTGGTTGTTGTCGCCTCTTCAGCAGTTGTTGTCATCATCGTGCTCGAGGCCAGAGTGGTTGATGTGGTTGTTGTTGTCATCGGTGTGGTTGTCATTGTTGTTGTCGATGTGACCGGCACCAACTGTGCAATGCGCACTGCACTGATCTTGCCATTGTTTGCAGAGCTGGTGAAGTCAATGTCGAGGTTCGTGTCACCCGCGTACACATCAAACACCTTCACCGTGGCCGTGGCCCACCCAACACTGTCGGTCAAGTCCACGTTACTCTCCACAAGCGTGCCCTCAATGTAAATGTCAAAGACGCGCTCTCCAGGCTGGTCGGTGCATTCGCAGATGTCAGCAAAGTGGAGAAACACGCGGTACCACTTGTTGCGAGTCACGGGGAAGTTCATCCTGAGCGTGCTTGCGTACTTCTCTGACTGGTACAGGGTGTCGTCGTTTGTGTTGGCGATGTTGATGCTCTGGACGAACGTGCTGCCTTGGATGTAGGAGCCTGCGGGCTGCCACACGCGGCCCTCTGTGTCTGTGTACGAGTTGCTGTCGCCAGCGTTGACCGCATATATGTCGTCGCCAACAATGAAGTCGGTGGGTGCCGTTGATGATGCCGTTGGTGACACTGCTGTGGTTGTCGTTTGCTGCGGCACACAATGGCTGTTTTCGAGGTTTGATGTGCGCCTGTTATCCCAGTACGTTAAGCACTTGAAGATGTGGTTGCGCGAGACCTCCGCAACTTCGGCCATGTTGTAGAATATGGCATAACCAACGCCTGCATCCCGGTCCATGTCCAGGTGATCAATGCTTCCGCAATTTCCGTACACCTTGAGGACCATGTCCCCATCAATCTCCATCTCCACATCACCTGCAGTCTCAAACCTGCATGTGGCATGCATGATGTGCGATCGTGGATGAAAAGCACAACACAGTCGTGAGATTGCTTGTGCATGAGAACAGGCGATTTTGGTGTTGATTGTTGAGTGACTCTGTGGACAACATGCTCAGCGGGGCGGGGCGGTAGTGTGTGGGTGTGGCGATGTCATGGTGGGGTGAGCTGATGTGAAGTGACAGCAATGACATACGTCTTTGAGGTGCTTGATCCGATGGTGACGCTGAGGGAGGCGTCGTTCTTCGTTTCCAGGTGGATGTTGGTCGCAGCTTTGAGGGAGGGAAAGGAGATGAGGGGCACATCCACCGCCGCCTCAATCCGGAGACAGTCCACGGATTGCAGGTTTGGGAACTCAATCTTCGACGACACGTCGCCGTCCACGAAGATGTACATGTCGTCGACGGCTGTCATGCCTGTGAAGACGATGGTGTCGATCTCTGCGCCGCTCTTGATGTTGAGCTCAAAGTCGTCGAAGCTTGTTGCTTGCACGTCAATGTGATTGCATGCACCTGTGGCGTCGATGGCGTAGTCGTCGCCGTTGCTGGTGCTGAACATGCCCTGTGTCACAATGAACGCACTGCCGGCCGAACACGACTTGACCTCGACCGTGTCGTCGACGCCAATATCGTCGGGGCAGTCGGCTCGTGCGAGGTGCAGGTGTGGCTGCTGTGCGAGGGCGACCAGCACGCTCAGCACAAACACAAACAAGCGACCACCGCCATAGCCGCCATAGCCGCCATATCCCGACGACATCTCCAGCGCCATTGTTGCGTCGCACGCACGCACTCCAACTCGAAGACTCGAGACAAAGAAAATGACGTCATCTGCACGCAGGTTATCGTTGGGCTGCGATTGGCTTTTCGCAAAGACTTCCACCAAAACCAGGGTCACGGAAAAACAACTGGCGATTTGGCAAATCGTCCATATCCGCTTTTGCTTGGCAACACCGCGCAAACGAGACGACAGCCAACCAACCAACCCAAACAACAGCAGAGCACATCTCTCCTTGTCGTGCACACGGTCGCAGCTTCAAGCCACAACACACCACAACCCCTCCAGCAACCCCTTGTCTGTATTACCTTTCCTGGCCAAGATGACACGTCGCTTGAGGGAGGACGATGATGACCACGGATTCCGTGAGTGTTGCTTTCCCCTTTGGATGTCTGTTCTGCTGTTGGTATTGGTGTTGTGCTGTTGGTGCTGCTGCTGTTACTGTTCTGTTGTTGGTGTTGCTGTTCTGCTGTTGTTGTTGGTGTTGCTGTTCTGTTGTTGCTGGTGGTGCTGGTGTTGGTATTGGTGCGGCGTTGTGGTTGGCAAAGTGAAGTATTTGTGTGGTACTGACGCACCTTGCTTGCACGCCTTATCCCTTCGTATCGTATTCCATATTCACTGCTTGGCAGAGGACGTGGAGCTTTCCACGCTGCAGCGGCAGTTTCGTGTCGCGGAGGGCTATCGCAAGGCATACTCCGAGGAATCCCACAACACACTGAGAAAACAGGTTGGCGCAGGCCCCATGTGCAAGATTGCCAGAGTGCGAGGGCGCGAAACTGCACGGTGGCAGGTGTTGGGGATGCTTCATGATGCGATCCCAAACTCTAGCACAAGCACGCACCGATTCACCCATGCGTTGGCCTAAAGATGATTCCTCTATTCGGCACTCACAAAGGGCGTGTTACCTCTCTCGCTTGCTCGTCACACACGAACCATGGCTTTGTGTAGGAGGAGCAAATTGCCAAGCTGACGAAGGACAACGAGTTTCTCATGTCAGAGCTCAAGCTCGCAGATGCGGCTGAGCGCACGGAACAGAAGGTGGCGCAAACGTGTGCCACAATGTCCTCCGTCCTGCAAAAGCATGAGGTGAGTTTGTTCACAAGGTGCACTCTTGCTTTCGTGGGAATTGAGGCAGTGACGTTCTCAGTCATGACATGTGCTGCAGCTCACGGGCAGCATGTTTCCACTTTCTACTGTGCGTGTGTGTGTGTGTGTGTGCGGGCGCGTGTGTGTACATGTGTTGGGCATGCCTTGACGTGCGACTGCCATATGGTAGGATGAAGTGGCACAGGAGAAGTCGCGAAACGACGAGTTGGGCAAGGAGATTCGGGATATGGAGCGCAAGCTGGCGCAGAAGCGGCGCAACGTTGGTGGCGCCTCTGGTGTTGAGGAGCGAAAGGCCAAGGTGAATGCGCAGATCTCCACCATGGAGAACCGCTTGGAGAAGATGCTCAAGAAGTACAACGCCACGCTCACAGAGAACGCAAAGCTGCGCGAGACCATCGACCATCTGAAGCAAGAGCGCAAGGTGCACAGTGTGTGTGTGTGTGTGCGTGAGTGCGTGAGTACGTGCGTGCGTGTGTATGTGTGTGTTGTATGTATGTGCGTTTGTGTGCGTTGGCGTGCGTGTGTGTGCGCATATGTGTGTTGCATTTGTGTGCGTGTGTGTGCACGTTTGTGATCACACTCTCACCAGCAATGCTTGTTTTGGCTGGTGTGCGTGTGCGCAGGTGTTTGACACAATGCACCGGCGCATTGAGAAGGATCTGGGCGACGTGAAGCGGCGGACGGCGGCCGTTGTTGAGCAGTCGCACAAAGCACATGAGGCACGCGACGAGGCGCAGAACAAGATTGCCGCCCTGGAGGAGAAGGCCGCCAAGGAGCTGCAGCTGTACAACCTGGAGATCAAGGAGCTCTCACGCGTGCTCGAGCACGACCGCAAGCTGAAGACGTTTATGGGCGTGAAGGCGCTGCCGCGCAACCTGGAGGAGGTGCCTGTGTCGCAGAAGCGCAAGACAAAGGCCGCAGACAGCCCGGAAACGATGGTGCAGACGTACGACGAGGCCTTCCGCAAGATCAAGGCCACAACCGGCATCGAAGTCAGTGTGTGCGTGTGTGTGTGTGTGCGTGCAGCTGTGTGTGTGTGTGTTTGTGTGCGTGCAGCTCTGTGTGTTTGTGTGCGTGCAGCTCTGTGTGTGTGTGCGTGCAGCTCTGTGTGTGTGTGTGTGCGTGCAGCTCTGTGTGTGTGTGTGTGTGTGTGTGTGTGTGTGTGTGTGTGTGTGTGTGCGTGTGTGTGATTCAACGTCCTGTGAGAGGATTGATCACTTCGCCTTGCGTGTGCAAGCTGTTGCTCTCGTCTTATTCGCACTCCCACGCCCCTTGTACTTTTTGCACCATGCAAAATCCACACTCACAATGCACGCGACTGTCGCCGCCCTTGCACTGCACCGCAGGACACGACAAAGCTTGTTGATCTGTTTATTGAGGTGGAGGACCAGAACTTTTCCCTCTTCAACCTCGTCAACGAACTCAACAACGAAATCGAGAAGACGCAGGAGCAGGTGCGTGGTGACAGTAAGGGTGGTGGTGATGATGATGATGATTTGGCGTTGGTGGCCGAACTTGTCGCTTGTTGTTCGTTTGTGTGCAAGCATGGGATGTGAGCATGCGATTTGTCTCGGAGGTGTTGCGCCACTCGCATTCGCATGTACGCACACACACACACACACACACACACACACACACACACACACACACACACACACACACACACACACACACACACACACACACACACACACACACACCCACACACGAGGGCGGGAAATCTCCTGAGCATTAAGTACCCATCCCTCTCCGCAATTCAATTTTTTATGGGGGTGGGGCGGGTATCCAAGGAAGGAGAGGAAGAACCTGAAGTTGAGACAAAGGGGAGGCGTGATCGCGAGGGAGGAGCGCTGGGAGAGCTGGAGGTCGGGGGGTATGGTGAGACGCAGGACGAGTTGCTGAGGAAGAGAT